GGAGAAAAGATACTCATGGTAAAAGCTTTAAGCTTTTCTTCTATGTATTCAAATAAAAAATAAATTAAACATTAATAAATTTGTTATATTTCTTCTTGCTTAATATTTATTTACTAAATTTGTTAGACAAGGGTAACGATCTAGAAAGAGATTAAATAGATCTTCGAATAAGAATTTTTATCAAAAATTTATTTTGAAAAATATTTTACTATGGCAAACGAAAGCGAATTCGGATCGATTATCAGCTATCTGAACCGTTATTAGTAGAATCAAATATGCGTATGTTATAGTAAAACGTATGTTAAAGATGAGAAAAGAAAACCAACAAGTTCTATATAATGTGTTTGAACATAAACCACACAATTATAAACAATTTCTAATGAAATGTAATAATAAACGTGACTCGAAAATTTTATCGGATACTTAATGCGTAGTCAATTTATCAAACATTTGGTGTACAACACACCAAATTTAATTCTCTTTGTGTTGAAGGTATGACAAATCAATTACAATTGTTTAGATTGCAATGGTTTCATAAAAACAATTTAAGATACTTCAACACAAACAGAATTATTAAAAAATTATATTACTCAATAAGTGTTATCAAAACAGAGAGAGAGAGAGAGAGAGAGAGAGAGAGAGAGAGAGAGAGAGAGAGAGAGAGAGAGAGAGAGAGAGAGAGAGAGAGAGAGAGAGAGAGAGAGAGAGAGAGAGAGAGAGGGAACTGCGATTTGTTTAGGTCGTTCTCTAATTATCCTCAATATGGGTACATCTGCCCTCAAATTGAAATCGAATTGAGATATTATAATTAACCTTTGTAATAGTAGTTTACAACAGAACTAGTAAAAATTCAAACCCCCAAACCCTGTGTTGGATGTTGACCCTAACTTCTTATGTTCCTTTGATCTTAGCTAGATCAAGTCATACAAGACTTCCAATTTGATCCTTTGGTGACTGCTATTCCTTTAACCGGACCTCGGTTCTTCAAATCTTTCACTTGGATGAATCTAAATTGTGATATCTTACCCCAAGTCTTTCAATTGATCGTCTGGTTATCGATACTCCTTTGCAAGAACCCACATTCTTCAAAGCTTTCAACCCAGTTTGATTACACTAACCTAAATCGGATCTTACCAATATTATCTTGATGACACTCAACAAAAATGTTTCTGTTTAGTTGTTGAATAAATACAAAGAAATATTGAAGACGATGAAATTTTCTTAAGTGTGTTCTTGGTTTCAATGTTGAGAAATGATGCATGAATGCATATTTATACGTATGTGTGTGTCTACGAAAATAACAAGCAAAACAATTTTTTTTTGCCAAAAATGCAAGTTTTGAAAATTAAAACAGAATGTATTGACTCCAAATATGAATGATTCAGTTCACAAGCCAAAGAAATTGATACATGTCATAAGGGAGTCGATACATTAAGAGCATAGAGTTATTGTTTGAAAAAATATTTAGAAGGAGTCAACTCCAAACACGAGGGAGTCGACTTATCAGCTGAATGTATCGACCCATACCATCAATGTATCAATACATTAAAGGTAGGGAATTTTGTTTGAAAATTCCTTATAGATGGAGTCGACTCCAACCATGAATGAGTCGACTCATTCACATGATGTATCGACCCATGCCTTGTGTATCGATACATTAAGAGAAGAACTTTTGCCTTTTAAAAACTACTCAGTATGTATCTGCATATACTTTCCACCGGGCTATACCTAGTTTCTGCATCATTAAGAGTTTGACTAAGGTAATATATAGCTTTTTCAACGCCATTATCATCCTCTTGAGCTAATAGACTTCCTATGGTCAGGTATGAGGCTGAAATATACAACCTCGTACATCTATTCCTAATCGGAGGTGACAAGATATGAGAGTTCTCTAAGTATGTCTTATTCTCATCAAGCACCTTCTGATGCTCAGGTCGCCACACGAACTCTTCGCTTTTCAGACGAAGCAATGGTGAAAATGTTCGCACTTTGCCACTGAGGTTCGATATGAACCTTCTCAAAAAGTTGATCTTCCCTAAGAGAGGTTGCAACTCCTTTTTTTTGTCGACAGAGGTTTCGTCTCTTTGATGGTTTTTTTTTGTTTTGATTTATCTCGATCCTCTTCTTGTGGACCACGAAGCCAAGAAAATTTCATGCCTGCACACAAAAAGAACACTTAAGGGGGGTTTACTTCAAACCATATTTTCTCATTCTTTCGAATGATTGCCTAAGGTGATCAAGATAGTTATTCCTCGACATAGATTTTATAACTATATCGTTGATGTAAATTTTCATAAACATCTCAATATAGTCATGAAAGATAGAGTTCATCACGCTTTGATACGTTGCTCCAACATATTTTAAGCCAAATGGCATAACTACGCACTCATAGGTTCCTAAAGCACTTGGGCATCGAAATGCCATCTTCAGTACATCCTCATATGCAATAAAAATTTGGTTATATCCAGAATAACCATCTAACATACTAAGGTACTCTAAACCCGTTACTAAATCGACAAACATTGGATATTCGTCCTTTGGGGTTGCAACGTTTAGATATCTAAAATCTATGCAAACCCTCAACGTTCCATTTTTCTTTAGTCCCAAGTTGAACCTTAAAATCAACAACAGAATATAAGATTTTCATAGATTCTCATTGCAAAAGAGGAGAGGAAGTGGAAATTAGAAAAAGAAATAAGAGAGAAAGAGTGAAAAATCGTATTCACCTGGACGTTTAAAGCTTGTCGGCACTTGGGTTTCTCACTATAATAAGAACAATTCGAATGAGAAATATGAATAGATATTGCATCACAGGTGTTGATGGCAATCAATGAGGGTGAGGTGCTCAAGGAAAATGAAATAATGGTGATTGAAGTAAGTGAGACTCAAGAATTAATAATTAATCGTGAGGAAATGGGTATGGTAATAAAAGAAAAATAAGAACAACACTTTCAAATTATGAAGAAGACAAATTGAACAGTAGATAGAAAGGATTGACTAAGACTCAAACCACAGATAAGATGGACGACTCTGGAAAAATTGAAGTGATTTTTGACAATAAGGCTCAATGCACCAGCATAAAACATCAAGGAGAAAGGAGGGACATTACTTTTGTCACCTTTAGTGATGCTCACGTACCCTACTGAAAAATCTATAATGCCCAAATTTTTTGGAAGTTAACCTCACGACGCACCCAAAATCAACCAAAGGTTAAGTTTTGCATTTTTTTACAAAGGTTAACTTATGTATGTGTTTAAGTCTTATTACGCGTCAGACCTTCTCTCTTTCTATTTCGTCACATTATTTCAACGTTTAGAACTCAAATTCGAGTTTGTGAGCAAACTCATCTTCCATTATTTTTCAAGCTTTCTCGCTACTTATATTTCATTGCATTGAAGCCTAGGACAACAATCAACCTCTGCTCCAGTCCATTCAATCAAAAATCATCGACTTCTCACATTTAAAACATTTTTTGGTTTCTTACTCTCTTTTTTATTTCGATGCATTAATTTGAAGTTTACCGAATAATAGGTTAATGTTGTTACATTAAGACACATAATAGGTTGTTTAGTGAGACCTACGCGTTGATTTTGTAAAGTTTGAAGTTAAAGCATTTGAGCATTCTATATTTATTCCCATTCAAGGTTCAAGAGGATATGGAAGTTAACTTGTAATTTTTGTTATTCTAAAATGCAGAAATAAACTAAACATGCTCAAATACTCTAATTTCATATTGTCCTAAAGGATAATACAAAAGTTAACTTCTATAATATCTATCCATTGAATAGTAAACTAAGCACACTATCATAAATTTAAAATGTGTATTTTATGGGTTATTTTAAAACTTAACATATGGACTCACTCCTTTATTAATATATAGGTTAACCTTTTTCATATTAATTTTTTACTAAATAAAGGTAACTCGCTTACAATGTGTTTTAGTGTGATTTTCGAGACATATGAAAGTTAATTTCACTATTATTTCAAGATGATTTTTGAGTTTCTTAAATGTCAATAGCTTGGAAGAAGAGCACCCCACTTAAAAAAAACCATCAATGGTGAAACAATCCAAAGAGAAACCAAAAAAACCATCAATGGTGAAACAATCCAAAGAGAAACCAGACCGATATATCAATTTGGACCCAAAAACCAACCACTAACCATACTCCAAAATGGAAACAGAGGTTCAAATAACCCCTCATATCACTTACGTAAATCACCACAAGAAGGGTATGCATTAAATCCCAACCCATTTGAAGGAAACAATTCTTTACTTTCCTCCAACATTTCTCAATGAGTGGTATACGCCAATTTGAAACCAAATCAGAAACGCAAGTCAACATTAAGACAGACCTTATAATCAGCACCATCATCACCACCATCACAATCTTCTACAAATTTTTCTAGGTGGTCTATTTCTTTGTTGTGAATCCATAACAGATTCAAATATCAATCGGTGCAACAATAATCTATAAGCAAAATACGAAATGGGAGTTACATTAAAACAGTGGAATGAAGCAAAAAGGCTGGGGTCGTCCGAAATGAAGAAGATGAAATCCAAACTCAAGCAATTGAAGAAATGTTGGAACGTGACCAACAAGGAGAAAGAAAGAGGGTGTAGAAGAAAAAATCTCAACCATGAATATAGTTTCATATAATATCAGAGGTTGGTGATAGAGAAATGAAAAGGATGGTTTCACAATTCTTGAAGGCATGTAATTTTACTGTTTTTCGGATTCATAAAACAAAAACTCAAAATACTGATAATAGACCGGTCCCATATTAAATAATTATAAATAAAAAAAAACTAGAATGAAGTTTTATTTCTTAGCATAGTAGTATTTATCTTGTAATTTTATTAAATAAAAAAAAGCATAGTCATCTCATCTATATCTAATAAGATTAAAGAACAAGAGAAATTAATAATATAAAAAAAAGACACAGTAGCACAACCACAGAAAAGTGAGTATTATTATTATTATTATTATTATTATTAATTATTAACAAGAGTTGAAATACAAGGCGTAAGGGAGATAGTGATGGTGATGATGATGATGGCGGTTGTGTTGGTGGTGGTGGTGGTGTTGTGTTGATTCTTTTTCAATCTGCCACCGTAGGTGAAGAAATTCATCAACCGAACAAGGCAGCTTGAGGGGACCATGAGTGCTGTATCCATAACTCTCGTAAGCCATGTCGAGAAGATTGTTGAAAAGAGGATGATAGAGATACGAAATAGGGATGAGAAACCTTTGAGAATCAGTGACAGCAGCATCTTGCTGTGATTGGTGTTCCTCTGAACCAACTTGAATTGCAAGACATCCTTTCTTCACCTTCATCTTGTGAGATAGCTTTGTTCACTGAATTGCGGGAAAAAACGGTAAAGTGGAGGCCGGTATAGGTTCGTTTTTAAAAGAAAGAATGAGTGATGCGTGTGTAATGTTCGTACTACGTGTTACGGAATCAATTGCAGGGTGGGGTCGACTGGCTATTTAGTGGAGAGTGACCACTGCCGTCCCATTCCGGAATTTAAGGCATTTCATTCGTATCAAAATTAGTTGAAATTTAAGTGTAAGTAAAGTTTGAAAATGAGTGGAACTCGTCTGAGTTCGGTTATTTTTTTGCTGATTTTTTTTAAAGTTTTGTACGTTTTCCTAATGATTTTTTTGTTTTTAATTCTGGCACCGGTTTAATAAACTTATACGAATTTAACCATTGTGAATTGACGACACCAATGGAGCACTTAAATTTCGACACTAAGAACCAAATAAAAATAAAAATATACACATTTATTCGATTATTGTTATCACTCGCCACTCAGCATCCTTTTATATTATTTTATTTTCCTATTTCAATCCAGCCGTCGGATCGAAAAATGCATGTACCAACTTCTGTAAAAAATTATATATTAATGTACGGATGTCCGGTTTATTTATTTCTTTGTCTTAATTGAGCAAAAAACCCTTATACTCTTGTTATCGTTTCTTTATAACTTTTTTGTTAGCAAAAACTATACTGACAAGAATTACTTATAAAAAGGATTTTATTAAGGTTTCTTGTGTTGCATAGGATACTTTTTGTTTTTTCATTATTGGTACATGAAGAAGGATTCACTAGTTGTTGCTTTCTATGTATTATTTGAAAAATCAAATTGGTTTGGCTAGAATTTAGAGTGTTTTACCAATGAATAGGCAAAATAGCTAATGACCATTTTAAACCATCACCCTTTTTAAATATTTATGCGATTTTGGTTTATGTATCATCAAACTTTTTTTATCCACTTATAAGGCCAGTAATTCAAGGAACCAATTTCCCGACTCAAATTATCAACTGAATTGTGATAAAAAAAAAATCAACTAATCAATGTGTTAAAAAATCACGACTATTACTTTGGTTAAAATCCGTATTTTAGGGTTTATATATATATATATATATATATATATATATATATATATATATATATATATATATATATATATATATATATATATATATATATATATATATATATATATATATATATATATATATATATATATATATATATATATATATATATATATATATATATATATATATATATATATATATATATATATATATATATATATATATATATATATATATATATATATATATATATATATATATATATATATATATATATATATATATATATATATATATATATATATATATATATATATATATAATAAAATCAATTGGATCCAATATCATGAGAGAGAAAGTCTCTCATCTCTCTAAATATCATTTACTAAATCTTACGCTTTAGTAATTTATTGTTTAATTTTTTTTATTATAAAATAGTTTTGAATCGTTTAACTTTTTCATTTTAAAATAGTTTTGAATCGGTTTTGTCACACTGATCTTTGTCGGCATCTCATCGGAGAGCGGAGTGGGGAAAATGGAGTGAAAAAGGGTCGACAATAAGGTTTTCAATGGTGGAAGGAAGCCAACATTGAAATGGAATATTTTTTTTGACAAGGAGAAACTAGAAAATTGTGGGATTTGGAAGCTTTTCAGTTTATTTCTCGGAGTTTCAAGACCAATTTGTGGCCAAAGATATCTTCGACATCTTCAAGAAACCTGGAGATCTGTCAGAAGTAGTTATTCCACCAAAGAGGAATAAATATGGCAAAAGGTTCGACTTTGCAAGGTTCAGAGATGCAGGGGATTTCAAATTGCTAGTGGTTAGATTGGAAAACATCTTCATTGAGAACCAGAAGATCTATGCAAATGTTCCCATATTTGATAGGAAATTGGCAACAGGAGGCGAAAGCAACTTCAGTTCAAGGAAACAAGAAGGCTTCATAGCTCAAACTAGACCAACACTAGGTTTTCAAAGGAGGGTTGGGTGGTAAAGTGGGAGGGAGTCAGGGAGATCATTTTCGGAGGCCGTAGAAAAGAATAAAGGTATTCAAGACAACATTTTCAAGAAACCAGATGTCGTCCTAAAATACTTTACAAAGGAGGAAGATATTGAGAGATTTAGTAAGGCATATGTATGCTTCGTGGTAACACCAGGTTTGTCTTAACAACATTCAAACACATTTTGAAATGGAAGGATATTCTTCGATCAAGGTCACTCCATTAGGAGAAAACATTTGTTTGTTGGAAGAAATGGATTCATGTGAAATCAGAGACCTCGTCAGAGAAGAGGAGAGCTGGTGGAGTCAATGGTTTACCGAAATCAGAGAATGAAGCGAAGTCGACGTGGACAAGGAGAGAGTCACATGAATCAAATGTTTTGGAATTCCTTGTCATGCTTGAAACATTTCCTTCTTTGAGTTCTTGGCGAAAATAGTGGGAACGTTCATATGTACTTATGAAAATACAATGAAATTGGAATACATGGATGTTACAAGATTCATAGTTAGAACAAGGTGTGCCATAGCTCTAAACAAAACGTTCAACTTGAAGATTAACGGGGAGATTTTTATAATCAATATGGCGGAGGATTCACATGCTCTTATGCTCATCTTTGTGAGACAAGTTGTGAGTCATACGAGTAAGTCAGATGAAAGTTATGAAGATGATAGGGGTTCAAAAATTCAGACGAAATGAAGGAGTGGTAGACGGAGAATTGATATTGCAATTCAGAGGGAGGGAAGAACTCTGACCCATTGTACAAGGAAGGCGAAATTCAAGATCAATGGGAGAAGGTTTTAGCAGTCAATAACATGTTAAGGAAGTAAGTACAAAGGTTGTCTACAAAAAGGGAGAAAATGGTGGGATTGTCAACTTCGATACTGCTATAAAGGCGGAAAAAGCAGCTACAACTACTTTGAAAAAAGATGATGGAGCCTAGAGTGAAAAGGTAGAGTCATCTGAGGCTAGAGATGGAAAGGAGAACAATGACAAAGAATCTGTGGACGCTTTTTTCAAAGTTAAAAACATGTGCCGAGTAGAAGACGTTAAAAAGGACCTTTTTCTTAAATTGGACGATACTAGAAGGGTTGTTATGGGAAAGGAGGTCGGGCCTAACAAAGTAAGGCTCAAAGCGCTAAAGAAATAAAGGGGCCCAAGAAGGTCATAGGTGGATTTGAGAATCACTCAATTAACCTCAATTTCATTAGAGATCAAAGAATCGTGAACCCTGATTGCAGAAAGAATTCTAATCCCAAAATTGTTACAACATCAAATCAAAAAATGGAGGAGGAACGATTCTTAGGAGATGAAATCTTATGTTGTGAATCAAATAATGATTTGACCATTCGTCAGGGGAACATTAGATTCTAGGAAAATTTGGAATCCAACGTGGGGGGAGAAAGTTTGAAAGGCGATCTCTGTAACACCTCAAATTTAATTTGAGTATTTTAATTAATTATTTAATTAAGAATATTCGTTTTCGGTGATTTTCGGGTGGTTGGTGAATTATTAAGAAAATGTGCATTTTTGGGTATTTATTTAATTAATAGCATTTAATATTAATTTATTAGTATTATTATTAATTAAATTAAAATAGGGGAAATAAGGGCAATTTGGGCGATTGGAGGAGTTAATGAGGATATTATAGGAAAAGCCCAAATTGTGAGATTTAAAAAAATAGAATTCTAAAGGGAATTGGGATTCATTTGTTAACCGTAAAAAGAATGGAGGCCAGAGCTCTGAGGAGGGAGAATTGGAGGCAAAAGCTTCGGAAAATTCCTGGAGTAATCGTGAAGGCTGTGAATCGGCTAAGGTATGTGGAGTATTGTTTTTCATAGTTTTCTATGTATGATTTTCGGTATATTTGTGGTTGATGTAAGGTTTAGGGATTTGGAATTAATTGTGGGAAATAGGGAAGTAATCGTAAGATTCTGACAGGATGGCCAAATGGCCAAATGGTATGTATCGTTGAATATTAACATAAAATTTATGGAAAACCTTAGGCCTTTATGGCAAAACCCGTAGAATTAGTGGTCAATATTTCTAACTGTCTGATATGTAATTGTGGGAAACCTTATGGGAAACCTTAGGCCTTCGTGGCCAAAAGCTTGACATTGTTATATGTCTGACCCTAAAGGGATTAAATATTGGATAGTAAGTAATTTTAATGCCGTAGGATGTAATTGAAGGAAAAATTGTGACATGTTGTCCCTATAGGAATAAGAATATTCAAATGTGAGTAACTCTGAAGTATTCAGAGTAATTGCAGGAAATAGTGTTTTAGGCGTTGCAAATGTTGCCAGATGAGCCTAATAAACCATAGAAGTTGTGTTGTTATTGCCGTATAACCTTAGGAATGTTTTAGTGATGTTTTGGTTACGTTGTGTGAGTGATTCCTAAGAATAATTGAGTAAAAATCAGTTCCGGAGCGTAACAGCGTCTTTCTGTCCGTCACGACTGTTCATGTTTTCGGTCGAAATTATTTTGGACGTAACTTTGGATCCGTAAGTCCATTTTGACCCCCGTTCGAAGCGTTGGAAAGCTAATGAACAGAGTTATAACATAGGATAGATAATGGAATTGTTTTCCCAATATTTTTATATCTAATTATGTTTGAGAAGTCAATTGTGTATATGTTTTAGTAACGAATCATGTTCTGGTTCAATAATGTCTTGATATTTTGATTCTGTGATTTCTGTGATGGGTTGCTGTGATTATGACGGTGGGTTTTGCGTGAGATGTACATGATGTTAAGATGATTTCTATGATGTATTGATTGAATTAACTTGATGAAATTACTATGAATTTATGAGCTATATGATAACATGAGTATGACGGTAAGGTTGTGTGGTTAACAGGCCATAGTATGATGATTACCGTGAGTATGATTTGATGAAATGATATGAGAGAATATGAGATAATATTATGAATTAATATTATGATAATATGA